AAGAATCATTGGTTCCTATTGTTTTAATACCAAATAACGCTTCTGCAGGAGTTTTACCAATTTTTTTTTATTGTATTATTTAATCCCCACTGAATGTCACTTACACATTCGTCCTAAAAATGTTCAGGCTTACCAAAATTTGACGCTGTTAAAGACGCTAATACTGTGCGGTTATACCGTTCTATTTGCCCATTAGCACGAAGAGTGGCAACAGCATTCAGCACGTGGTTGACACCTAAAGAGTCTAAATATTCATTGAACCGTTTAGATGTAAACGAGGTTCCTCTATCAGAAATAAGTCTTCTCGAGACGCTAAAAGTGTGAAAATAATGTTTTATTGCTCTGATGGAATAGATTATTTTCGTGCTTTTTACTGGTATTAGGATAACAAATTTAGTGAATGCGTCTATTATTAGCAACAAATAAGAGTTCTTCTTTATACTGCGCACAAAGGGTCCTAAATGGTCTATATGGATAGTGTTAAATGGTCTATTAACTTTTGGTAATGAGTGCAATCCCCCAGCTTTCTTGCCAGCTGGAATTTTGCTGTGAGCACGTTCTAGACAAGAATTCACATACTTTTTTACAAATCTCCGCATTTTAGCAAACCAATATTGACCCTTGATCTTATCGTAAGTTTTATCAACACTAAAATGACCAATATCATCGTGATTAGCATTTAATACTGCCATTGTTACAACCCTTTGGTACAACCCAGCGATCGCCATCTTGCGTTTTTCTATACAGCAGACCTCTTTTTACTACAAAGTTGTTTTTTATTTCTAAAAGGTTACTTGTATTGGGATCCTGTAATATATTTACAATTCATTGTAGTTCTGAATCGCTCTGCTGTACAGTAGAAATCCAGTTCGAATCAATTGTACAAACATCAACGAGATTTTGGTTATACTTAACCGGATTACGACTAAGAGCATCGACGTGTAACATGGACAGACCTGGTCTATATATTATGTTAAAATCATACTCTTGCATTATATTCCACCATCGAGCAACTCTAGGCAACATATCACGTTTTTCAAACGTTGCTCTTAAAGAATTACAATCAGTAACTATTGCGAAACATATACCTAATAAATATACACGAAACCGCTGCAATGATGTGACAACTGCTAACGTTTCCAAGTCATAAGCTGTAAAACGACTCTCCTCAGGTGTAGTCTGTCTACTGTAATAAACTACAGCATTAAAAGGAGATTCCTTGTTGGGTCTCTGCAACAAAATGCTTGCAATACCGACCTTAGAAGCGTCAGTGTCAACTTGTGTTTCATATGACTGGTTATAAAAAGCAAGGACGGGGCGTTTAACTAATTCTTCTTTTAAAGATAAAATGCTTTAGTTTCTTCCGTACCCCATCTCCACTTAGAATCCTTTTTCAAGAATTGTGTTAATGGTCTTGCGATAGTAGAAAATCCCTTTATGAATCTACGAAAAAAACTAGCCAATCCCAGAAATTGTCTAACATTGTGTTGGTTAGCGGGGTCAAGAAACTTTTCAACGGCTTCTATCTTTTTCTTTCCAGGTTGCACGCCATCTTTACTTATTTCGAATCCCAAGTAATCGACATTTTGCATGAAGAATTGACATTTATCCAATTTTAAAGTTAAGCCTACCCTTTTGAACAATATTAAAGTATCACGTAGTTTTTGAAACCCTTCCTCAATTGTTTTTGATGGAATTAACACGTCATCCATATACGCAAAAGCTTTTTTAAATCTTGCATTGCCCAAAATCTTGTTAATAGTTCTATGGAAGGTAGAAGGGGCGTTAGCTAGCCCAAATGGCATCCTATTAAACTCATAGTGTCCACCAGGAGTAATAAAAGCTGTGAGATGTTTTGAAGATTCAGACATAGGTACCTGATAGTAGCCAGATGCAAGATCTAAAGAAGTGTAATATTTAAATCCAGATAAATTATCTAATTGATCATCAATTCGCGGTAAAGGGTAATGTTCCTTTACAGTTTTTTTGTTTGATGCCCGAAAATCTATACAAAGACGATAATCTCCTGTTTTCTTCTTAATAAGGATAATCGGTGACGCGTATTTGAAGTAGACTCTCTGATAATTACAGTTTTCTAATTTGGTATTGTCATTTAATTTAATATTCATTTCTGAACCTTGTACGCACCCAATTTCATTTATTGCAAAAGCAAAGCATTGTCTGAATTCGTTTACAAGATTTAGTAATTTAACTTTATCACTATGGCCCAAGTCTTTATCTATATTTAACATTGAAATTTCTATTAATGTAACAGGAAGGGCAGAGTTATGTTCAATTTTATTTACATAAATATTTTGAACATTTTTAAGGGTAGAGCTCGAACCAGTAGCATATCTTTTGTTAAAGAATATAGAGTTGAAGATACACATTTAATCACTACTCGTCCCTGACCATTGTTTAGCTGTACGACACTCTGAATAACTTCATATTCACGTTTAGGTAATTGGCAACAACTAACTTCTATAAATAACTGACCCTTATAATTTGGAGATGAGTAAACATATATTTCATTATAACCAAAAGCAACTGACGTAGATTCAGCGACGTACAGCAAAACCTTAGTTTCTTTTTGTGAATCTCTTGAAATTATTTTTAAGCTATCCTTATTTTTATAAACAACTATGTGATCTTGTTCAGTATACGTTTGTCCCAGCAATAACGGAACTCTTAGTAACTCATCTGCCACTATAAGAACTTGTACTTCACACGTACCGAGACATTTCACTACAGAATCTCCAAGCCTCGTAAAACTGGCAAATTATTCGTTGACCACGAACCAACTAGACTTTTAGCAACAGATTCCTTCAACATGGTACATTGACTACCAAAAATCTATGAAACAGTCTAATTCTATGTCATTAACCTTGGCTGATTTAAAGTATTTTAAATCATAATCAATATTTTTGGATATAACTAAAACGGTCTTGCTGTCTGCGGACCCTTGTTTCGGACAACTATCAGTTAAATGACCTATATTATGACACGTGTTACACCTTTTAATAGTATGTTTACACTTAAAATATGGGAGTCCTTCCTCACCACAGTTATAACATTTTGGTACAGTTTTAATATCAGAACTACCTTGTATCGGCTGAAAGACTTTTGGCCGTCTGTTGTCAGAAGTGCTTGCTTGAATTGTGGTGTTCCTTTCAGGCCTCCTAACAGTTTTAACATTTCTTAGGAAAATTAATAATTTATCTGATTCCGTAAATTGCGCCGCTTCGGCACTTGTTCTAACAGACCTATCCTCAATGCCAAATAAAATACAGTCTGTAGCATTTTTACCAAATATTAAACATCTGTTCAATAAAACAATCTTTTCATAAAAATACTCTTCTAAAGACTCGCCAAATCGAGCCTTACACGCAAGCATTTCTGTTAACAGTTGGCCATAATTTTGATTACTTGGAAATGCTGACCTTAGTTTATCCTGCCATTCAGACCAAGAAAACATTAAGCTTGGCAAACCTTGATATCACTTTTGCGCTAAACCAACTAATTTCGGAAGAGCATAATGAATTATCTGACGTTATGACCAACCATAAATAGGCGCACACTCGTTCACCTTAACAATCCAGGTATCAACGGTTTCATTACTTTTAGACGGATCGAACTCTGGAACAACGTTTATGGCAAGATAACGATCGCTACTATTATCAGGTTTAATCGCATTAACTAGTTCTTTAAACGTATCTATTAAGCTATTTGCGGAAAGACACGACGTAACACCTTCACTGATCGATGAAGATCGGTATTTTTTTGAACTTCTTACTCGATGTGTGTCTTTTGAGAGGTCGGGGGTATACCTCGATGTACCGCGGTCACGTGGCGCACGTATAAATGTACTTCGGTCACGTTGCATACGCCTGGAGGCGCCGCGCTTATTCAGCGAATATTTGGCTTCGCCCGCTGCATCGCAAGCGCTTGCGTCGAGTGGTGCTGGAGTCAGTTCGATACCTTCATCTCGACTGTCGCTCGGCCCCACTGCTAGACGACATTGGTGATGAGCTCGGCAAGACCTAGTGTTCGTACGCTTACGAGATCGTCGGTCTCGTCCCATGTTTTTCGTCACTGAAATATTAACAAAAAACTAGAAAGCAAAATGTTTTATTTTTATAATTTTTATTTTATTTATTATATTTGTTTAATATTAAGAAAACATTATACATGTAGCTACAAATTAAAAGTAATTAATTGGGTTGCGTAAGTGAACAATACAGGTTTCAGTTTTTTTTTAAATTAATTCTGACCACAAAATAAATAGAAAATATCTTAAATCCTGATACAGTATTAGTTTTACATAGTTTGGCTAGTACGCTTATGTGAAGCCAAATTATTGACCAAAAATGTTAGTATAGAAGAAGAAAAGAAAATTGACATAATTTAACAATTTGAACCTAACTTGAATATTATTATAAATCAACAATAAACGATATGAATAGATGTTAGCACATTATAAATTGTGTATAAAGTAGAGAGAAATAAAACTTACCTATTTATGTTTTGCCCAATGAGTCCGAAATACCGAGTTATCTTAGCTCGATATAAACCCACTTCTGATTTGTTAGCAAATAATACAATTTATGTTACAGCATATCACTTTTATTTCATTCGTTTATAAATCACAATTTATTTATCGTACAAATAATCACTGTTACTTAGTACCTTCACTATATCTTTACACCAAAAACTGTCAAGTCTCTTAAGTCTCAATACCTTAGAACTGAATGCCCCGCTTGGGTCGTGACGGCCATTTTTATCCTTTTTTTGTTAGGAGTCAAATCCGAAACTATTACAATAAAAATCTTACCGGAAATTCAAAGCCACAAAAGCGGAAATCCGATTTACATTTATTAAAGTTAGATGTATATTTCAAGAGATAACTACATTAAAATTAGGATCGTTCAATATATTATGCTTAATTGTTCTTTATACTTAATTGCTAACATTAAATTCCATCAATTTTTTTCCGTATAGTAATGCCTGATTTTATTAATTATTTTAAAAGTAATTATTATAAACTTCTCATAATAAAATACTTTATTTGTGGAGTTACATAACAGTGAGGTCAAAGCTTTAGTCGAAAAATGTTTAACTTATTTATGTGTAACTAGTTTCTCAGAAACTGGTTATTTTTGGATAAAATTTTGCACTTGGAGTCTTACTGTATAAGTTTTTTATTAATAAATGTATTATCCCTGAGAGATTTTAATTTTTTTTCTAACACCAAAACTAAGCTCGGTATACTAGGTACTGATATACACACCATATTATAGCAAAAGGATTTAATAAGCTAGTTTAAATTTAAAAGGCCCGCTGGGTTTCTTGTTGGTTTTTCCCAGAAAAGAGGATTTTTCCGAACCAGTGGTAAAACATATACGGCTACCAATAAGCATTCTTTTAATGTATATTATAATTACATATATATGTATTAAGAGTAAAAATGAATCTATTCTATTGTTATTGTTTTACAGGGCAGCGTATAGCGGAGGGCTGTATTAGCGCATTGTTAACAACAGCGATGGTAATGGAGGCGTCCCCATCCCCGCAGAGCGTTGGCCGTGAATTCGTCCGCCAGTACTACACGCTACTCAACAAGGCGCCAGCCTATCTGCACAGGTTTGCACTTTTTTTGTTTCGTTCTTCTAGCTAAACATATGTACTTCAGATATGTTTATTTATAGAATAAGGGTGACAAACGAGCACACAGTCCACCTGATGTTAAGTGGGTGCTGTGGCCCATAGATATCTACATTTGTACTTCAATTATGAATCAAAATAATAATGCATTACTACCCCTGGGGATTAAGATGGAATCCAGTAAAAAGGATCTCCGGTTCTCTATGCTCGGCATACAAAACACAGCAGCTTTAAACTGCTATTTTACACTGGTATCTGTGATAGCATGGACCTACCCTAGTTGTGCTACAACCATAATATAGCTGCAGCATGGTCCTGCCACTTAAAGATATATAATCAGTACATTTAACTTTGAGCTACGGAGAGGACTATGTTCGTATTTTCACTGCGTGATACACCTAGTGATAATATATCTGCAGTAGAACCAGAGGTACCGACATAGCCCAATGAATCAATAAGCTGAAATGGAAATGAGCCAGTCACATAGCTCAGTACTAAAAATTGATGGGGAAGAAAGGTTCATGAGATTTTTCTCTCTTGTGAGATATTCCTGTCTTTTTTGAATTTGAAAACTATATACCTTTTGAATAGAATAGAATAATTTTTATTCAATATATATATATATATAATATTTTTTTTTTATACATGTAATTCTTATTCAAAATCGTTTTTTACTTTTACCATTGGTTGCTTGCAGGAGTCCATGGCGTGCAATATCCACTGAGTTCAGATATGATTCAGCTAGGAGTTTAGCTTGTTTGAGCCATATCTCTGTTATATAAATTCATTTTCAAAAATAATGATTTTAAAAACTAATCTTTTAATAGTTTATACATACTAGCTTTCGAAGTCAGTGCTTTATTTATATGCATCACAACCTATGGAACAACTAGAATGTCGTCTAAGCATGTACATTAAAAGTTCATTCCCTATTTTTAATTACAAAAATATATAAAAAAAGAAAAATATATATTATATTACAGTCTAATTAATTGAATACTTTTTTAAAGATATTGTCAACGAACCATAATAACTGTGAGATTGAGTGGGGTAGTGGTTATTATCTCATCATTTAAGCCTCACTTAGATTGCATCTACATTTGCGTATTTTATCTAAATGACGTCATCATATCCACATCCTCTTTAAGAAAAACAAATACATATTATCTATACATACATATAAATAAAATTGAAGTGTCTTTTTATGATATTGAAATAATCACCTTTAATTGAATTGAGATGATTATTTACATGCTATTTGTTAGACTTGAATAATTAATTTTTAATTTTTCGTCTGTCTCGTTGTAATAAAACGTGAAAAACAAAATGGAGAGCAATGCCAGGAGTGTTTTAGTCTATATTTTATCTCAAAAGCTTTTTTTTTGAGAAATCGTAAATTGCTTAAAATAAGTTGTCTTTGATGATTATCTAAAATCTAAATGAAGTCACGTTAATAGACGAAGTTGGGGCCGATCGCTAGTATACATTACTATACAACACCCAATAAATTAAAATTAGTGTGTTCTTAGAATGTCTTGTATATTGAGGCAATTGTAGATTCTTACTGGATTGCACTGCAAAGAGGATAGAGAAGAGAGGTGAAATTACATATATTATTTTTTCTCTTTGCGACCTTCTTTAGTGTGTAAATAGACTTGAAGAGAAGAGAGGTGTGTCTATATATTTAGCCGACTTCAAAACAGGAAGAGATTTTAAATTTAACTGTATGTTATTTTTGTAGATATGTACCCACATTAATTGTAAACCGCTTTTTATCATTAATTTTTTATCAATTAGGGGTGGGGTCCCATAAACGTGAAAAAAATCAACTAAGGGTGGAAAAATCACAAACACACACACACGCGCGGATTCCAGATGTTTCTGCTGACCTCTCATCCGGACGGATATCAGGTTTCCGTAGACTAGGGGGGTCTAGGCTCGTCGGACCATTGCCTTGTCCGAAGTGTGGTGGCACTCACACTAACGTTGCGGTTGGTTTTGGAGGTTTTTGGCACTATAGGTCGGCAGATTGGGGTAGGTTGTAGTCTTTTTTGCATCCTATCCTTGGGGACGGGTTTGCTTCTCACCGGAGGATCCCAACGTTGTTGCTGATTTTGTCGCTGATATGGTACTTCAGGGTATCGAACATTTTATTTCATCTTCCATGATGCCCATCGCATGCAGATCACAGCCATGGTTTGGTCGCTCCTCTAAAATAGCATCATGCTATAACCAGGAGTGTTACCACGCTTTGGCTGACGCATCAACGTCTCGCTCGCACGCTCTTAAAAAGAAGTGTAATTCCGCCTCCAGGTCCTTCAAAAGAGTCATTGCTTAGGCAAGGTTTGAGCACATCGGTAGAATTGACAAGAAGCTAGTTCGCCTTCCTTCGGGAAACTGTGCATTCTCGTCTCTCGCCAAGGCTGTCCTAGGGAACTTCGGTCAACCATCTCTTCCATCTCTGCACAGAGAGGACGATGCACTTGCCCATGCCGCAAAGAAGAAAGCTGCTCTGTTAGGCTCTCTCTTTGTGTCCAACTTGACTCGACTCGACAGAGCGAGACAGTATTTCATGGCATGTAATTTCACAATACCTCCACCTAGGAGTTCTATCACCAAGTGAAATTAATTACATATTAATTTTAATGTTATTGGGTATGAAAAAGATACTGTGGGCGTGTGGTTATCAGATGGCAACTTTTTTATTTTATACAAGTGTTTGTGGTAAATGGTCACCTAAACCTATCCTTAATAAAGAATCAAAGTGTGTGATGATATGCACTTTCTGCCCAAAGAACTAAGAAGTAATGCCTTGTTTACTGGTAATGGTTACCTATTGTTACCTACATCTATCCTCGATTAAGAATCAAATGCAGATTGATTGTCACCTCTGGGGACTGAGATGGAATACCTTGTTAACAGTGAAAAGGTCTCTGGTTCTCTTTGCTCACTGTAGGAAACGCAGCATTATATTATTATTTAATGCTGGTGTGGCCGTGGAAGGAAAAGGGGAATCTTCCGCCGGGCAAGGTGTTCTGCCCGGTGAGCGGCCAACAATCCGTGTGATAGTTCGGAGATGTTCTATATATCAGTGGCGAAGCTAGGGCTCCAAACTAGGGCAAGCCCAAAATATGGTTTTGTTGTTTTTAGCAGTTCACTACTTTAAAGGCACTATATTAAAGGGTGCCAGATTGATTTTTAATAATGGCGTAAGTATAATACTAACATATACAATAAGTGTAATACTACTGCTACTGAGAATTTTGTGACGGAAAAACCCAATAAATGATTTTTGACCCGACTCGGGTTTCGAACTTGGGACTACATGATCAGCAATTGCGTTTACTGCCGTTAGACTAAGAATGCAGTCAAAAGTGTTAAAACTATAATAATTTGAAAGGCGTCCTGCTCTGAGGAAAAAATTAATGGTCACTAAAAAGCCGGGCTTTTTAGCTCATACTAATTGCTATTTATACAATCGTAGTTATATTTCATTATAGAACATTTTGCCACAGGTTAGAAAGGGAGCGATCGCCTTCTCGAAAGCCCGGTAAAAAGCCCACGCGTGCGAGGGAGAAAACCAATCGCTCAATTCAACTCTCCTTATATGTATGAGAGCAGTATTCGTAAGGCTACGAGGTCTCACGGAGTGCGCGGGAAATTTGAAATAGTTTGAAACAGTTTACGAGTTATTTTATTACTTAATATAATTGATTGATTATTATAATTGATTGATTCATATTAATGAGGCAAGCCGGGCTTTTGGGCTTGTATAGAAGCTTCGTCACTGCTATATATACTGTTTATGATTCGGAATGTTGATAGCGCGATTTAGGCTTCGGTGTGTTTTCGCTTGTGGCGGCGACGACAGCGCCGCTACATCACCCCCCTGCTCAGACCGGAGGTCGATAGTGCAGCCTCGTTTGCCGACGAATGTGCAAGTGCCAGGAGATTACCTTGTAGTCTGCGGAGAGTCGAGAAGAAGGCAAGTAATCTGCGAGAGTGCCGTGAAGCAGAGGCGAGCAGTAGGGCTCAGAGCCGTGCCGAACACTGTATAGCGCAGAGAGTAGCTTGAAGGAACAGGAAGCATTATTATTCCAGTGCTGCGATGAACCTTGTGAAGCTAGCTGGCTTGCAGGATATGAAGACTGCAGACGATATCTGCTCGGGAGCGAATGGGTGGGGTATTCTATGACGATGATGAAGCTTGAAGTTTCCGAAGGTTGTTGGTTGCGTGTTCAGATCACTTCAGTTAGTCACCATTGTGGCCGTGGAAGGAAAAGGGGAGATCTCCCGCCGGGCAAGGTGTTCTGCCCGGGGAGCGGCCAACACTCCGTGTGATAGTTCGGAGATGTTTTATATATACTGTTTATGATTCGGAATGTTGATAGCGCGATTTAGGCTTCGGTGTGTTTTCGCTTGTGGCGGCGACGACAGCGCCGCTACACTGGTATTCAGTGTTAGTGTGGTCCATTTCCGGTCGAGCTGACCCGTTCGTGCCGCAACCATACACACGTGGTAACATTTGAAAAATATTACTCTTCCAGATTTAGCATTCATCATTATCATCATCATTATAGCTCGTCACAAGTCCAGTGCAGACATAGGCCTCTCCCAAGGAATGCCACAAAACATGATCATGAGCCACCTGCATGAATTAACTTCCTGCGTATCTTACCAGGTCGTCACTCCAACTAGTGGAGGGCCCGCCCCACACTTCGCCTACCTGTAGAAGGTTGCCACTCCGGAACCTGTCTTACTTCCCCACGTTTGTTGGTTCTTCGAGCTATATGGCTGGCCCATTGCCACTTCAGCTTACTAATCCGTTGAGCTCACTTGTCAATTTCTTATAGAGCTAGTATTATTAAACATTTATTCGTAAAATTATCTAGTAGTATTGATCTCAATCAAATAAAACAATGGGTCACTTGCAGATTTTACAACAACTACTCGTCGTTCGTGCACGGCGGTCTGGACGCGCCCAATCGCGAGACACTGCCAGTTATTGGACAGAAGCAAATACACAACCGCATCCAGCAACTCAACTTCCGCGACTGCCATGCTAAGATCAGCCAGGTATTTTAAATTAAATATTATGTTTGTCGATCTACTCAACACTGCGAAATGCCCCTGTCTAGCATGTCATTAACTGACTGATGTAGTGAGTGTTTCCTGTCGTATCTAGTGGGTGTGGTGTGGTACATACACAGATAATTACTAGGAACGAATGCTGCGGTGATTATTTGTGTAAGATGATGCGCAAAGTGATGATGACCTGCGTGCACTGTGGTGTGCGAGACCAGTACTCAGCGCCCTATAAGCTCGGGGTATGTCCAGCGTGATTCGGACGAAACTTCTCCCTGCCAGCAGATGTGTCCGCTATGTTGAGCGTGGTCCATTCCCGTTCGAGCCGACCCATTCGTGCTACAACTATAATATAGCCGCAAGATAGCTCTACCACATATAAAAAGGCTTTGAAAACATAACTTCTTTTGAAGCTTCGTGGCTGTACCACATATTAATTTATCGTGAATTATTTATAGGTGGACTCTCAAGCAACGTTGGGCAATGGCGTGGTAGTGCAGGTGACAGGCGAGTTATCTAACGGTGGGGCGCCCATGCGCCGTTTTACCCAGACCTTTGTTCTTGCTGCGCAGTCACCTAAGAAGTATTATGTGCACAATGATATCTTTCGGTACCAGGTGTGTATGATGTCTTTCCATTTAATACAATTTTGATATAGATTCTAACTCAACATATGTCTAGAGAATTAATTTGGTTGCCAAGATCTATGCTCTTTGAAGAATTTGAATTACTAAATAGTATTATGTTCAATTGGCCGATTTTAAAATAATTACATAATATGTTGTATACATGTATCGCGTACCGGCACCAATGAAATTATTAATTGCAATTTTAAGTGCTGACTTACCACATGCTCGGCAGTGAAGAAATACATTGTGAGGAAACCGGCATGTCAGAAATAACAAAAAAAATATTTCGAAGATCGTGTGGCGGACACTTCCTTGTCCTAAAACCTGCTTATAAATGAGGGAGGCCTGTGCCCAGCAATGGGATGGATACAGGTTGTAACTTTAATGTTTACTTTAATCGACCGATTTAACTCTTCTGGGCAGTTTGGGAATTCAAGACACATTTTCTCGTCAGCTGTTTATCTGAGACATGGTCGAAGGAACATCTCTCAGATCTATATCCAGCTGTCTTCAATTCCGTATGAATAATCTCAAGGTCGCTCAGCGAGATATGAAGAGGACTATATGCTGGAGGTTTCACTGCGTGATAGAAATGAGGATATCTGCAGTAGAAACAGTCACCAAAATCCCCAATGGGTTAGTAAGCTAAAGTGGCAATGGACCGGCCATATAGCTCGAAGAATCGTTAATCAAAAGAGAAAGGTTCTCGAGTGGCAACCTGATACCGGTAGACGAAGTGTAGGTTGGCGGCTCCCCACTAGATGGTGTGACGACGATCTGATAAGACATGCAGGAAGTCGATTGATGCAGGTGGCTCAGGACCGAGACAGGAATTAGGTGATTGCATATAATCTATAATAAGCTATTTCTAATTTCTCTTGTGTTTTTAATTATTGGTTGACTAATAATATAACTATAAAAATGTCCTACTGGGTTTCTTGCTGGTTCTTTCCTGGATAGAAGTATTTTGCGAACCAGTGGGAAATTAACTCTCAATAAGTAGTATTTATTAACTATATTGAATAAAAAAGTTTCTATTTATATTTCTGTCAATTTTCTGACAAAACTTTTTGTAACTTTTTGATATAAAAGGGGGCAAACGAACATGTGTCTCATCTGATGGTAAGTGACTACCGCCGCCCATGAACAACTTATACGTGGTAGAGCCACGCTGCATCTATATAATGGTTGTAGCACGAATGGGTTGGCTCGATCGGAGAAGACCCACACTTTCACAGCATACCAGCATAAAATAGCAGCTTAACGCTGCTGTGTTTTGTATGGTGAGTGTAGAGAACCGGAGACCCTTTTTGCTGGAAACCATCCATTCCATCTTAGTCCTCAGGCATGACAATGCATCGGTATTTTTATTCTTAATCGAGGATAAATGTAGATGTCTATGGGCTACAGCATCCACTTACCATCAGGCGGACTATGTGCTCGTTTGTCACCCTTATTCTATAAAAAAACTGCAACACCACGGGTATTGCTGGTGTATTGATGGCAGTTGCATCGCTCCGGAAAAATCGCTGATGGTTGTTTATTCCAAAAGAAAGTTGTGTGAAGAAGAAAACCTTATGTGAATCGGACAGTAGTGAACCCCAATTATCCAGATAGTATAAGAATGGTATCGCGAAAAACTGGTAACTTATTGATTTCTATATATAAAAATCAAATGCTGTCCACTATTCTCACAAAAACTCGAAAATGGCTGGACCGATTGATGACCAAATGAGATGAAATTACAGTGTTTCATTGGGTCTAGGTCTCTGGATGGTTTATATTCACAATTAGATTGGAGGTGGCGAAGTTGTACCGAGATTCGTGAGAAATCACTTGTGCGAAGAATTTTGGTAACGTAAGCCGGGTCGGATCTGTAGTAGAAAATAAATATTCGTGTACAGGATATAGTGTTCTCGGACGAGGAGGGCGAAGGGTCCGGGCGGTCGGAGGGTGAGGAAGAAGAGGCGGGGGGAGTTGCGGGCGGGTACTTCCCGCCTCCGCCGACTGCCTTCCCGCCCGCGTTCCCTGCCCCGCCGGCGCCGCCGCTGGCGCCTATCATGTCGCCGCCAGCCCCCGCGCCCGCGCCCGCCCCAGTGCCCGCCGCTGCTCCCGCGCCCGTCGCCACCCCCCGTACCGCACGTCAATGGACTTCCGGCCCCGATAGACGAAACGCGCCACCTGGTAGCGGCGATGCAAGGTCGGTCTATATTCATTATAATGCAACTGTATATGTATACTCGTAAAAATCACAAAACTTCGTGTAGTGTCGGTGTATGAATATCCCCTAGCCCACATCGTAGACAGAGATGTCGTAAGAGGCGGCAGAGAGAAACTGAAACACAGGAGGTGCAGCAACGTATAAAAAAACTAGAGATACAATAAAGTACTGGCTTATTATAAGTGTATGTTACCCTACAAGTGTGCATTTGGACCCAAACTCGTGACTGGTTTTTTGTTTCGGGTTCGTACGCGTATATCCAGGATTCGTCACCTGATACGATGTTGTATACAGCATTTGAGAATCCTGCGTGGAATCTTTCGAGAGTTCTGACGCACCAAGTAACGCGAGCCGCTTTTTGCTCTTCACAGAGCGAATGCGGTATCCTTCGGGAAAACAACTTTTTTACACCTAATTGTTCATGCAAGATTATTTGTATTTCACTCATGTCAATGTCTAAAGTTGCCTGAATTTCGCGAAATGTCAGTGTCTTCCACAACCAGCTTACGCACAGCATCAACGTTTTCTTGGGTGACTGCAGTTTTTGGACGACCTTGACGGGGATCATCACTGAGCTTGACACGTCCACGTTGAAATTCAGCAAACCAGCGATAAATTGTGGTTTTGGATGGGGCTTCATCACCAAATGCAGAAATCATCCGGTCAAAGCACTGTTTTTGTGTTAACAACTGTGTTGTGAAACCACTGTAACAACCAGTGTAACAGCTGTAAGTAACTGTGTTGTGAAACCACTTCGAAAGTCATAATAAATCATCACTCTTAAATTTTCTCGAGTCAATTCCATTTTCTCAACGACTAAACAAGTTTGACAAAACTTTGTGACAAGACCGAGAATCTTTTTTTTAAATAAATAAATGGTATTCGATTTTTAAAACCAAGGGTTTTCAATTAAAAAGTTAATATGACAGGAACAGTGGAAATATACAATTCCCAATACTTTTAGTGCAGCCTAGTAGTTTGAACTGATCAGTTGAACTGACCGTGTATGTCGTCCATCAAAGTAATTTTATGTTTAAACGGATAGGTGAAACGTGCAATATAAAATAAAGTGAAGAATATATATATATATATATATATATATATATATATATATATATATATATATATATATATATATTACAGCTGAACGATTTTGGTGACGGTATTAAAAATGTCTATTGTTGATTGTGAATCCTTTCGTAAATTTGAGAACACTGAATATAATTAATACTGACTTGTCACTCCCATGTCCATCCATGTCTTATTTGACACTGACAGAATTATATCAAGAAAAGCTATTTAAAAAAAGAAGAGGAGTTACACGACACAGTTAGTGTAAAACTTGTACCTACCACATTATGATGTATGGAGCCACCATAACATAATATTATGTTACTAACTTGCGATGGAACTGCACTAAAACTCGCTTTAGTCAACGTTTACATCATTGTTATAGGTCTTGTATGAAACACTAAGTAGTCTTTCTGAAAACGTTCTCTTGATTGCTATAGTACACGCTTTTAGTGGTTGAGATAATACTAGGAGCATAAGCTCATAAAAGAAAGTAAATTCGCCCGACCATACATAAATTATTATTACGCCAAAAGAACGAATATGTATTTGACACTCACAATATTCAATAATCTTTTTTTCTCCTTTTTTATTTTTGATTCGTTATTTTACTACTAGCCTCTCGATTTAGAACAAAAACTGTGTCAGTGCTGTCGATCGCGCGAGCAGGGTAGCATGGTAATATGTCACGCAGTTTTATTTTCAATTTACGACAGTTACTGTTTTTAGGCAAATAAGAACTTAAAATCATGTTGAAAAAGTGCTCACATAAATAATGACATCGTTTTCATAGTCACATTAAAACAAAGTCTGTGTTATATTGTCGAAAATACACTGACCTCCATTATTTGAACTGGACCGTGACTTAATGAGGTGATTTGATTTTCGCCATTTTGGCGCTGACAGCAGAACTGAGCGTCCACGGAACTAATAATAGAATCTCTATTATTAGTACGTGGTAGAGCCAAATGGGTCGGCTCGACCAGGGCAGGATCACGCTCTCACAGAAAATACCAGCGTAAAATAGCAGCGTAATGCTGCTGTGTTTCGTATGGTTAGTATTACCATACGAAACATAGCAGCAGCGGTGTTGGAGAGGACTTTCCTCTGGTCACAGCCCACCAAAACACCCAAGTGGACTCGCCAAGCCCACTCAGGGTGGCGACCTGTTCAGGGGGAAGCTATTTCTCACCTAAACTCAAGCAAACTCACAAACGGCATTAATAATTTTGCAGTTCCAATATAAATTTATATACCCTTGACATAATAAACTGGTCCTATTTAAACAAATTTAACAAATTTACAACGTCTTGTAGACACAAAGTTACCATCAGGCGACCTTTCAACACTTGGCTATGGCATTTGAGTTTGTTTGAAAATGAGAAGAGAATAAATAAAAAAAACATTCGAAATAATAATCTAATACATTTATATTTAATGATACTGTTACTAACAGGAAATATTATCAGTATAATAATAATAATAATCAGTATAATAATTAAGAGGCGTAGGGAAGTGACGACCCCATCGCCCGCTGACGAAACAGTTAAGTCACAAAACTGCAACGTCGGTGCAGTCAGTCAGCGCCTTGCCAAGAGGTATGAGCGCCGTGCCTCGGTAGTACTCAGGGTGCAAAAGCCCGTCTGTGCTTACGGCTGTAAAATGATACAATGAAATGGTGCAAGGCCTGGGCGTCTTCCGTTAATTGGCCCCCAAAAAATGGATGATGGAATGTAATAGAAAGCGTATAGGGCCGTTGCCTGGGGGTCGCCGGGGCGCGTCTTCAGCTGGCGCTGGACGCGGCAGCATGCGGGCCGCCAGCCGAGCGCGAGGAGCTGCAAGATCACCTAGCAGCCTCCCGCATCCATCATCCCCACCAGACGGCTTGATGTCGGCAGGGTCCTCTCGAACTCGGCAAGCGGCATCCGCCGCTGGTGGAGTGCGCCGCATGCGTTGGACAAGGGATATGAACGCAAACGCATTGCGGGCGTACTATAGGGCGAAAGGGGAAGAAACTGCAGGGATAGCGTATCGGGCTCGGATGCATCGCTTTTTTGCTGAGCTGGAGCCGTCTTTTCCCGTCACGGAACAAAGCCTGGCAGACCGAGTTCGGTACATCATGCGCTAGAAAATATTTGATGATGCCGAGTTCGAACGACTACGACGTAAGGCCATTCCCTCATCGAATGAATTGGCTACGGCTGGGGATGCGGCTCCTCAGGCGACAGACCAGAGCTGCCACGCGTAGAAGCCGCCATGGATCTTCCAGTTGTGGTTGATTCGGACGATGATGAAATGGTCTCCCACGAACTAGAGCAAATGAGGAGTATATTGGAAGAGGCGATTTTGGAAACGCGCAGTATGCCTCTCGAAAATCGACCGCGACTTCCCCGCATATCCCTAAGCAAGCGAAATCGGGCTGTCGTGAGGGCTCTTAACCCAATGCTGGTAACCTATTTGGAAGCCAGCCTGGACCCTTGCGAGACGGACTCAGTTCTTTTTGGCGCCGCAGTGGCAGCTTGCCGTATTATTGGCGCCAAACTTCCCATGGCTTTGGACGCGCTACTAAACAAAGTAGCGCCATCCCAGCCTGGAGAAAAGAATTGAGGACCGTATCGCAAAGGCAATGGCCCTTATTGGTAGACTGACAAGCTTCAGGTCGGGTAATAATAGACCGAGGGTTCTGCGCACCGTTAGAATGGTGTCGTTTGCTGGGACAAATATCAGTTTGTCCCAGCCGGATATCACGCAGAAACTAACGGAGCGCGTAGACGACCTGAAGCAAAAGATCGCTGCTTGGGGGAAGCGGATTCGCCGATTTACCGAGAGGTCAAGGCGGTTCAACCAGAATCGTTTCTTCCAGAGTGATCAGAAGAGGCTCTATAAATCATTGGAGCGACCAGAGGTATATGGAGCGGGCCCAGGACCGGATCAGGCTAACACTGTCGCATTTTGGCGTGGCCTGTGGTCAGAGCCCGTAAACCACAGCGAGGGCCCTTGGACGGAAGTTGTGGCGAGTCAGTGTGCGAGTATTACGCCCATGGACCCCGTCATCAGAACGCCGGATGACGTAGCTGAGGCGGTCCGTAGAGCCCCGAACTGGAAAAGTCCGGGACTCGACGGGCTGCATCACTACTGGCTGAAGGGGTTCATGGTGTGCCACGCTGTGCTCGCCCGTCAGTTTCAAGAGGCTCTCAACCAGAAGTCGCTCCCTAGCCTCTTCACTACTGGGATCACTCATTTGGTTCCTAAAGACAAGGTTACCACAGACCCGAGCAAATACCGCCCCATTACGTGTCTACCCACCATATATTACACTAACATCCATTTTGAGCGCGAGAATCACTCGTCACCTGGAGCTAAATCAGGTGATGTCACGCGCTCAAAATGGATGTTGGGGCGGAGGTCGTGGAACTAAGGAACCACTCCTCATTGACGCGGTCATTGGCAAAGTGATGAAACGCAGCCGTCGGAACTTCTTCGCCGCCTGGATAGACTACAGAAAGGCATTCGAACTCGGTGCCCCATACATGGCTAAAGAGAGTCCTCGAGCTGTACAAGATAGACTGTACAGTTAGAGACTTCCTCAAGCAGTGTATGGGGCACTGGAGTACGATCCTTTTCATCTGGGCGAGCGGATGATGGCTGCGGAGAACCTCATAAGGATAAGAAGGGGTATCATCCAGGGCGATTGTCTGAGTCCAATCTGGTTCTGCCTCTCTCTGAAACCTCTCAGTACCTGACTGGAGGGATTCGGGAAGGGATTTCAGCTACGGAAAGGAGGGACAAAAGTGACCCACCTTTTTCATATGGATGACCTCAAGTTATTCGCCTCTTCCGAGGCTAAAACATACCGATACCTGGGTATGTCACAGAACATCGGTATCGATGAGGCTGGTATGAAACAGTCAGTTTGCGACATGTTTTATGCACGCTCGACCAAAGTGCTTAACAGCCTTTTGTCCGGTGTTAATAAGGCACACGCATATAACGGCGGGGTCATGCCTGTCCTCATGTATACCTTTGGCACAAATACAGAAGGCGGTGCTCCTCGATACCGCCCGCATCGTCCGCCGGTTTCTTTCCCTTTCCCCCTAACCCTAGCCGTTTGGTCTCCCCTGCCGAGGGCTTCCATCTGGTTGGGCTTTTATTTATTTATTTATTTTTATATTTATTTAATTTTATTGATATTTATGTATATTTTATCTTTTCATTTACATTTATAATTATATATTTATAGAACCCAACCAGATGCGAAAACTATATTGATACCCCCCAATAATAATAATAGCCTTTTATTCCTAAACATAGGGTTACAAGAGGTCCCTAAGTTCGGTGTGCCTTGTGGCACAGGCCTCCTCCAATTCCTTCCAATGCTTCCTGTCCCTTGCTACTCTCAGCCAGAATGGTCCCGCTGTCTGTTTCAAGTCGTCTTCCCATCTCCTGATTTGACGACCCCTGCCTCTTTTGCCATCTCTTGGTTGCCAGAGAGTGACTTGCTTGCTCCATTTGTTAATGTGGTGGCGTAGCAAATGTCCAGCCCATCTCCATTTTTGGACGTCTATCCGGGTAAGTTATCAGTGTACTGCCTATTGAATAAAACTAAATTTACGGATTTTATGGCGTTTATTTAACTACTTCTACTTATTTTTAATTCCCGACGTTTTGGGTGTTTTACAGCACCCATGGTCACGGGGGGGATTGAGATGTTTGAAGTCCCAATGTCATAGTTAGCCCGGCTACCTTCAATGGTGGGGACGATTTTGAACATGTTCACAGACTGCAGACTTCCCGGAGCAGTCTGTGAACATGTTCAAGATCGTCCCCACCATTACATCCGATTTGATAAACCACAAATATTCGCAAAAGAACACCGATTCCTACCAAGGATGATACGCGAGGCTATTGAAATTAAAAAAAAACATCCTAATTTCAATAGAGAAGATGGTTGAGTGCTGCCGTCTGCTTGGGATCCTATAAAAATTACACCCAAACCCAAGCATACCACTGCAAGACTTCAAGATACTGTAAGGTCGTTTTGCGTAGATCGGACCGAAAAATTTATATTATAAAACTGAATGTAAGTCGGACTAACTATGACATTGGGACATCAAACATCTCAGTCCCCCCGTGACCATGGGTGCTGTAAAGCACCCGAAACGGCGGGAAATTAAAATAAGTAAAAGTAGTTAAACAAATGCGATAATTATATAATCCGTAAATTTAGTTTTATTCAATGTGTAGTGTTTGCGTAAATTTAAGAAATAATTAGTATATTGCCTAATAAAACAGTCGTCTGTGAAGTGTTTTGAACAAAGATAATTTTATTTTGTTTCGAACGCCAATTTACTAGTTTTATGCATTTATCAATAGGTTTAGTTTAGGATCTTAAGATCAATTGGAAACCTGTTAATTAATAAGCATTTGATAATTATCTGTCGTTGGTGACTTTGGTTGTTAAAAGATATGGGTATTAAAGAACATCGATAAGTATTGTAGACCAGGAACTAAACAATGTTATAAAATTTTATTGTTTATCAAAATTCCGTTAGTATAAAGTCAAATATGTTGGTAATTACGATATTAAGATTAGTAACAAATTTTTAAGTACTTATATTACCAAATAGTTTCGAATTTTTTATAGTAGCTGTAAATAAACTTGCTTGTGGAATGTTATCCTACTTTCCTTTTGGTAACAAGTTTTACAAATTACGCACACTTATTATTACTAAAAATAATTCTTATTATATAACTAAAATTAAACATAACCGGACTACCCAAAATACTTTCATTTTTTTCTTTTAAAACACAGAGAGATGATTTAAAGAACACAACTGGCTTTGGCATATTATGTCAATTTTAGTTCCCAGTACATTCAATGGCGGCGCTTCAAATCGACAAAAACATTTTTGTAGAGTATAGCCAGTCCAGCGTATTTGTATAAATAGAGGTCGGTGTGAAAATATCATTGCGGTTTACAAAACCAAGAACTAGCCTTCTCGCCCGTTCTGACTAAAGGAGTTAGAGAGAATTGTTTGTATCTTAGTGCACAAATGTATCAAGACTGCAGAGCTTGTAGTATATATGTGTCTTAGGTTAATTATGGTCTTGTACCGATAATGTATGTGTTTGCAGCAAGCTCGATATCGGGCGGGGTCGAGCGAGAGGCGGAACCGGAAGCGGAGCCAGCACCCGCGCCCGAGCCTGAGCCCGAGCGCGAGCCCTCGCCTCCGCCGCAGCACGGTACCTACATAACATATTATATACCAATTTTTTTATAAACACGCCTGTCACACAGAGGGATAGGCAGATACTATGGATTTCCATTTAGCACGATCCTAAAACACGTCTCTATATATATATATTTACGCATACACGCTTGTCGGTTAAGAATACTCCTAATCTGGCTCATTTTCAATATACCTGGCAATATTTGGTCGCTAAACCTTCGTCTAGGGCGTCCCTTCCCGACTCTGCCATTCACACCTGCAGTATAAACTTGCTTTGTCACTCTTTCCTCGTTCATTCTTTCTAAAAAATAATAAAGAGATACAAAAGAAACGACATATAATACTTAGGGAACATACAAACAGCTTACTAAAAACATACAGAGTTAATAAACACAAAGAATAAAATAAAACAAGAATCAACTTACCAAACTCTTTAAAATCACCAAGAAATCAATAAAACTCGGCTATTTTAAACATAGAGAAACTGATAATATCAAAAAATATAAATATCTTTAGAAGCACGAAGAGAGCCTTCAAGGAACTAACTCTTCAAAAGAAATGGATACAAAAACTGGAAAAATACTCTGAAGAGACTAAGCTAAGGAAAAGATGTGATATTTGATAGAATCAGGCGTTACTTTGCGGAAATCCATTACAATAAAGACATTAATTAATTCGCAACTATCCGCATAAAAATACAATGATGTGTCTTACCTGGATTGAAGAGCACCTCCCGCCCTCCCTCTTAATTTGGCAAGCCAAGCTAAATTATGGCAATAAGCTAAGATATATTGGAATATATTGGACATTAGAAATGTATGGGAAAAATCCAAATAAAATTATTTATTGTAGGGTTTCCTGGAAAACAGACGTTAAGTATATTCAACAAAATTCGATGTACAAGAAAAAAAGTAATGTTATAAGCGTTGAGTATTCTTAACAAATCTCAATAAGGGTACTGCAAGATCAAACATAATTCAATCAAAAAATAATGTTTATCGAAAAATTTTGACAAATTGACAAGAGTATTAAGGCTTCCTATGGTGGTAATTATAATGACAATTGCGATCAATAATTAATAAGTTAGTTTTTTTTTAAATTAGTTTAGTTTAATTAATTTAACAAAGCAAAGTCTGACATTACATTTCATGCAGAAAACGGTAGTAAATCCTTTTTTGCAATAAGCACAATGACCATAATCCTTTCCATGTTCTGGGAAATGGTCATCATCATCATCATCATTACAGCCCTTCACAAGTCCACTGCTGAACATAGGCCTCCCCCAAGTAATGCCACAAAGCACGGTCCCGAGCCACCTGCATCCATCGACTTCCTGCATGTCTTACCAGGTCGTCACTCCATCTAGTGGGGGGTCGCCCTACACTACGCCTACCGGTACGAGGCTGCCACTCCAGAACCTTCCCCATCGGTTATCGGTTCTTCGAGCTATATGGCCGGCCCATTGCCACTTCAGCTTACTAATCCGTTGGGCTATGTCGATCACTCTGGTTTTACTGCGGATACCTCATTTCTGAGTATCACGCAGAGAAACTCCAAGCATACCCCTCTCCATAGCTCGCTGAGCGACCTTAAGCGTCCTCATACGGCTAGCAGTGAAGGACCACGTCTCAGATCCGTAAGTCATCACTGGCAACACGCACTGGTTGTACAATCTACTTTTTAGAGATTGAGGTATACCTGATGAAAAGATATGTCGTAATTTCCCGAACGCTGCCCAGCCGAGTTGAATCCGTCGATTGACCTCTCGGTCGAAGTTGGACTTACCTAGTCGGACTATTTGTCCCAGGTAAACGTACTCGTCAACAACTTCGAGCATAGTGCTCCCAACAACTACCGGCATAGGTGTGACATGGACATTAAACATGATCTTTGTTTTGTCCATGTTCATCTTAAGACCTATCCGTTGGGAGGCACTATTGAGGTCATTGAGCATAATGCTTAAACTCCTCCAGCGATTCTGCCATAATGACTATATCGTCGGCAAATCGAAGGTGAGTGATGTACTCGCCATTGATGTTAATACCGTATCCTTTCCAGTCCAGTAGCTTGAAAACGTCTTCCAACGCAGCGGTGAAGAGTTTCGGGGATATAACATCACCCTGTCTTACACCTCTCTGCAGTTGGATAGGTTTCGTACTCTGGTTCTGTACTCGGATAGCCATCGTAGCCCTACTGTACAAACACTTCAGCACTTCGATGTACCGACAGTCAACTTGGCACCGCTGAAGGGACTGTAGCACCGCCCAAATTTCGACGGAATCAAAGGCTTTCTCATAGTCCACATATGCCAGGCAAAGTGGCAGATTGTACTCTTCGGTCTTCTGTACAATCTGCCGCAGGGTATGTATGTGGTCTATGGTACTGAAGCCTTTTCGGAAACCGGCTTGTTCGGGAGGCTGGAAGTCGTCGAGTCTGCGTGCGAGACGATTCGTAATGACTCTCGAAAATAGCATGTAGACGCGGCTCAGAAGGGAAATCGGTCTGTAGTTCTTCAAGAGAGCGTTGTCGCCTTTCTTAAAGAACAAAACCACCGCGCTTCTGCTCCACGCCTCCGGAGTAGTGCCACCATGGAAGACGAAATTGAAGAGCTTCCGAAGGACTTCAAGTACCGGTTTTCCACCCGCTTTCAGAAGCTCCGCTGTAATTCCATCCTCGCCCGGGGCCTTGCCGTTTTTAAGGTGGTGGAGAGCCATTCTAATCTCGCTCAGACTGACGTCCGGGATATCATCGGAATAGTGTCGGATAAGACTTGCTCTTGGATCGTTACTCACACTTACGTGTGGCTCCAACGATGATGTGTACAGCTGCCCATAGAACCTCTCAATCTCACTCAAAATCTCAGGTGTCCCGGAAACGATGTTACCACACTCAGTCTTCAGCTTTGACAGTTGGCTCTTTCTTGCAGACAGATCTCTGGCAAAGACTTTGGAGCCCTGGTTCCGCTCGATCGCTTCTTTAATACGAGAAGTATTAAAGTTGCGTAAGTCTCGCCGCATGCATTTGGAGATCTGTCTGTTCAGTTGCCTGTATGCTGTCAAATCTGTTGACGATTGCAGCCTCATCTCCCGTCTAACAGCCATGAGATTCAGAGTGTGATCGGAGAGTTTTTGTGTTCTTCTGCGGCGGGTCTTGCAGAACTTAGCTCCGACCGCATGGACAGTTTCCACGAGCTTGTCGTTCATATCGTCCACTGCATTGCAATCTTCTAGGCACTGGAAGCGGTTACGTAACTCGAGCTGAAAGGTTTCGGGATTATGGATTAGAGCACGAGGGGGACGGAGCGTTGACTTCATTAGACGAGACCTCTCCAACTTAACGTTTAGGTTCAGTGTGCCTCTAACCATTCGGTGATCGCTGCCAGTTTTCACCCTTGCGATCACTGAGACATCACTGAACAGTTGGCGTCTGGTCGTCATAATGAAGTCAATCTCATTTTTTGTCGAACCGTCGGGGCTCGACCAGGTCCACTTCCTGTGGGGCCGCTTCTGGAAGAAAGAGTTCATCATAAAGAGTCCCTCTTTCTCCATAAAGTCGGCCAGCTGCTGGCCCCTTCGGTTCCGTTGCCCTACTCCAAATTTCCCTACCTTCAGCTCACCGCTTTCTCTTGTGCCTAGTTTTGCGTTGAAGTCTCCCATCAACACCGTGTAGTGGGTTTTGGAGGAATGTATGGCTCTGGAAATATCCTCATACATTTCCTCCACCTCCTCATCGGGATGTGCCGAGGTTGGTGCGTAAACCTGAATGACCTTCAGCGAATACCGTTTGGTGATTCTGAGTATCAGGTACGCGACCCTCGTCGACACACTCCCAATCTTTACAACGTTGTTGACGAGAGACTTGTGGACGATAAATCCGACACCTCCTTGGGACAGATGGTCGCCCTCCCGGTGATAGAACAAGTTGCCGGACTCGAGGATTGCCGTGTCCTCCCCCTCTCTTCGGACCTCGGATAATCCAATAATATGCCAGCGCAACTTGTCTACCTCTTCTTCCAGCTCTAGTATCTTCTCGTCAGTCCTCAGGGTGCGTGCGTTATATGTTGCCAGGTCGAGTCGTCGTAGGTGGCAACCGAACCTCCACCGGAGATTCTTAGCACCCCCTGCCCCGCCGTTACCATGGTCGCCACCGTAGCCAGGAATAGCGGGGCCGCCGGGGACTGGGGGCCGTCTGTTTGTGTATTTATTTATTGGGGGGTATTTGCCATAGTTGCCACGCTTGGCGAGCGGGTTGGCAACCGCAGTTTTTTATTACGTCACAGATGTTATCAGGAAGATGCTGCTGCCCATCTCCTGCCTGTCTCCTTCTGTCGCCTTTTACGACACCCACGGGAAGATATGGGGTAGTGGATATTCTCAACCGCCACTACACGGAAATGGTCGATAATATCGAATCTAACATCATCTACAGGTCTGGAACGTGTAGGGTTTTTTATTTTATTTATTTTATTAAGATCTTGTACATTAGCTGCGTCTATAGTTGTCCCCTTTTTCAGCAATGCCTTGTAAATACTTAGCCTAAACTGTTTCAAAAGAATATATTTAGTCTCTCCCTGTCTTTTATTATCACTTCGGTAAGTCAACCAAGCATTATTAATACATATGTCAAGTAATTGCGAAAAAATCGATAGATACCAGCGCCTGGTCTTCATTTCGGTGCGATATAAAGCTATCAGCATATCTGACAGGTCGACGCCGCCCATATGGGCGTTATAATGCATAACAACATTAGGATACTGTACCTCAATCCTCTGCTTCCTAATTTTGCAGTATCTTCGTACCTTAGTTAGTGGATATGCGTCTGCGTAACTTGAAGCCAGTACGACACATTTATTGTCGTTCCATTTGTCCACAGAGAGTTTGGTTTTATTACAAACAGTTTGACTAAAAGCCCCTCTGCCCTGAGTTTTGAGAACCTTGTCTGTTTGTACGCATTGTACCAAGACTAAATATTCCGTAGATATTCCTGAGATGGTGTATTACCTCCAAAGAAGAAAAAAAGTTGTCAAAGTAGACGACACAAGGTTTTTTTCTTTATGCTTTTACAAAGTCTTAAAACAGCCTTTATAAAGTTAAGTTTTTCTTCCTTTGTAAAGTTACAGTCCTCAAAATTATCGTTACCAGTATAAAGAAAAAAATCGTAAATAATCCCTGATGCTCCTGCTCGCACCAAATTTTTAAAGCCCCATTTTCGTGGCTTGCGCGGGTTATACTGTCTTTTTTCCCCAGCTTTGGTGCCTTTATATGGAATCAACATTTCATCTATACTGAATCTAGTCTCTTCTTCTACTTTCAGGCAGTTTTCACGGATTTTTTCCACTACTGGTCTTATTTTAAAATATGGATCGGAGTCAGTATCTGTATTATCTACAAAATGTAGGTATCTCCGTATAATTTGATAACGCTTTAGAGGCATTACATCCGCAACCATTGGGAAACGGGTGTCAGTAGCCCAATAATCCAGATATGAAGTCATGGACACGATACCCGTAATGACTTTAATTGCTATAAATTTGCGCAATTCGGCACCTGACAAATTTATTGTTTTCTGAATGGAATACATATTTGTGTAGTTACATATTTCGTCGAACATATCTTCTGAAAAAAAGTCGTTGAAATAATCTAATGTTGTTTTTCCATCAGGTATAGGACTTTCAAACTTATCGGGTTCTAATTCGGCACGAAATCGAAAACGTCCGCTTGACCATTGAAATTTGAGGTTGACTTTCTTATTTTTAGTAACAATACAAGGCCTTTTCGAGATCGAGTTTTGTTGACGGCGTCTTTTTCGAGTATAACGATTTGGAAGAGGTGTTGACGTAGAAATACATGGAGATTGTTGGGGAGAGTCACTTACTTGGTTGATTATAAATGATGGCGTCATAGAAGGTATGTTTGACATTGGAGAAAGTGTTGGTAAAGAACTTATGGATTTCAGTGAAAAGTTATTTGCTTGGTGGTCATCATCATAATTGTCAGTCTCATCATATCCTGTGTGATCAGTCGGAGCCGTATTCGGATAATTGTAATCGGAAAAATCTATATCGAGCCGTTCTAAAGCAGAGTCAATTGATGGTGCTTCAGATGACTCAGAAGCTCGACTTTGAAAGTTGTACACTTCGTCTTCAAGCTCATTCTCAGAGTTCGATGTCCCACTTATATCAGATTGAGCGTTTTCTTGGGGTACAAGGGCCAAAATACGTTTTGACCTCAAATTCTGAAACAAGAATTTTATTTTGCAGGCAAAAAACAAAGCAAGCATTTTATCGCACACAATATACATGTTAATATTGCTCGGAAAGGAATATTATATGGTGGAAATTAAAGTATTGCTTAAAAAGAAAAACAAAACTATGCATATTATAAATAAAATAAGAACACGAAAGTCCTTATTATTGTTAAGCAGACTTAACAAACAAAACTGCCATCACATATCCCACCATGCAAATTTGTAGAGTATACTCAACATACGTTTATCACACTCAATTACACACCACCGAACTTTGTTAATGATACTCCACATTCATGTTTACATACCTATTGTGTTTATACGATGATGATGTTTATATTATACGAGGGATTGAAAAGTACTCGGCCTAACACAGATCCATTCAATTCTAAAAATCAAATCTACCCACATTATTTAGTTCAGTTCAGACTAGTACATTGTGTGAAGTTCGAAACGTGTGCGATAATTAGTTGTGATTTTATAAATTTATTAACAAAGTAATCGGACATAATTTCCGCGAATGGAGCAAATCGAGCAGCGTGCCGTCATTAAGTACCTCCATAAGAAGGGGCTATCATCAAAAGCCATCCATGATGACATGGTCAGTACATTAGGCGATTGTGCTCTGTCATATTCATCCGTCAAAAATGGATAGCAGAATTTAAGCGTGGTAGAGAGAGTGTGAAAGATGAACCCCGCTCTGGAAGGCCTTCGACGTCAACTACTGACGAAAATATTAAAAAAGTACTTGATTTAATAATGGCAGACCGCAGATTAAAAATTAGAGAGATAGCCGAGATTATAGGCATCTCTTATGAACGAACTCAAAACATCATTGTCAACGAGTTGGGTTTCCACAAGGTGTCTGCGAGGTGGGTTCCGCGACTGCTTTCAGTTGAACAAAAAAAGGACGCGATTGACTATTTCACGCGACTGTTTGGAGTTATTTGAAGCCGATGCAGATGATTTTTTGAATCGTTTTGTTACTATGGACGAAACATGGGTTCATTACTGTACACCGGAAACAAAACAACAATCAAAACAGTGGAGAAGACCTGGTTCACCACCCCCTAAAAAAGGCTAAGTCGATTTTGTCGGCAAATAAGGTGATGGCTTCAGTATTCTGGGACTCGAAAGGTGTGATTATGATTGATTATCTTGAAAGGGGTCAGACTATAAACTCTGATTACTACTGCACCTTACTACGTTGTTTACGAGAGGAAATAAAAGAAAAACGTCGAGGAATGCTCAGAAGAAAAGTCCTGTTTCATCAAGATAACGCCCGTGTTCACACGTCAGTACAGTCAATGGCTGAAATTCACAACTGTGGCTTTGAACTGTTACCGCATCCGCCGTATTCACCTGATCTGGCACCATCAGACTTCTTTCTGTTCCCTAACCTAAAAAAGCACTTGGGAGGTCAAAGATTTTCGACAAACGACGAGGTCAAAGCAGCTGTAGACGCATATTTTGACTCTAAGGAAGAATCATTTTTTTTCAACGGTCTAAATGCTTGGAAGGGGAGGTGGCAAAAGTGTATTGAACTTGATGGTGATTATGTAGAAAAATAAAAATATAACTGATTTAGTATGTGTTTATTTTCTTGGTTAGGCCAGTACTTTTCAATCCACCCTCGTATCTCATAGCTTATAGAATTGAAAATAATGATTAAACATTGGATATATATTATAGAAATATAAACAATTGTCATAAATATTATTTTTAGACACTTAACACAAAAAAAATGTAAAATTACCTGCACATTTCGCAGCGTGTTTCGCCTGGTCGCCATTTTTGCTTGGTACTGTCAAATTTAGTGTTGTCACCTGGTTCAAATATTTTTTTCTACCAAAAATACTAAATTACAAATTATATAAAAACAAAAAAAAATTAAACCGCGACAAAAACATAGTACTATATTTTTTTTGATTCGAGTGTTGAGTATACTTAACGAAATCAAATTAAGGGTTAAAGATATGATATATACCATGCTGCCAAATTTTGTAAACGACTATACAAAAAGAAGGAAATGAAGGATGCATTTGAAGAAGACATTGCTAATAAATCTAGAGTAAATACGGTTAAATTAATAGAAGAAGAATAAATACTTTCACATATAAAAATAGTAAAAAATGAAAACAGCCCGGGCCTGACGGGTTAACAAGTGAAGTTATTAAATTAGGTGCTCCTATCTTACTTAGACACTTAACACGACACTTTAATGTGATATTAGACACAGAAATAGTACCAAAACAATGGTGTACATCTGACATATTAATTTATAAAAAAAAGGAAACCAGTTAAATATCGGAAACTATAGACCCATCAGTCTTCTGACAAGTATGTACAAGCTCTTTATATCTATTATACTAAAAGGAATTACAAAAGAAATTGACGCTTCTTAGGCAATAGAATAAGCAGATTTCCGCTCAGCATTCAGCACAATTGACCGCATAGATCTACTGATAGAAAATACAATGAATTTAATAAATCTCCATATGTCGGCTTTATTGATCACAGCAAAGCTTTTTACAGTTATCTACCATGGTTTCATCTGAAGTGCATTGAAAACATCAAATGCAAACTATAAATACATAAAGATCATATAATATGTATACTTAAGTAGTAGAAGTAGGAGATATGTTGGAGGAGAATTTGTAGAAAACGTAACTACGACAGAGGGGATAACTGGGCAGTGATGGAAAAAATAAGAAATTTTGTATGGATGACTATGAAAGAGAAATCAATTTTAAATGCATTATAGCAAGTCAAATAATAATTAATGTAAACAACGATGATATTCCATAATTCACTCAAAAAGGATCAAAAATTAGACTTAATTAGAAGTAAGTGCTGTCTTCAAAGTACCAAAATGAATTAAATAACAACTTCACAAGTCTGAGCCGTGTCGTTGCATAGTCTTTTGAAGCTATTATTTTATTCCTTTTAGTTTTTTTGAATTCTTTTTATTAATTATTTTTATATTTCTCTCATTGGCTTACAATAGTGGTGCCGGAGCCAAAAACCTATGCGAACCTGTTGAAGTCCGGCTCGGGTGCGGGGTCGACGATTACGCGCAGCTCTCCACCTGCTCCTGCTGCCGCCCCCGCTCCCGCGCCCGCCCCCGCCCCCGCCCCCGCTGCGGCGCCCGCTGTCGCCGCCGCCCACGCCCCCGCGCCCGCCCCGCAGGAACAGCGTCCGCGCCCTCCACGAGTGCAGCAGCCGCCAGGTAAGAGCACAACTATTGGAAACTAAACGTATTTTTTTTATTATAGAAGATGGCAAACGAGCAATGCGGCTCACCTGATGATAAGTGACTACCGCTGCCCATGAACAACTGAAACACCAGGGGAATTGCAGGTGCATTGTCGGCCTTTTAGAAAACGGTGAGCTCTGTTCTTAAAGGTCCCTAAGTCGTATCGGTCCGGAAAAATCGTCGGTGATAAACGATTCAACAGCGGGATTGTACGAAAACTAAAGCTCCTAATAAGACGTACAGTGGTGGACTGCCGCGGGTCGAGATGGTGTTTTTTTTTTTATAATATAAGAGTGACAAACGAGTACACAGTCTATGTAATGGCAAGTGGATGTTGTGGGCCATAGACATCTACATTTTTAACCTCGCTTAAGCAATGAATAATATAGTAAAAGACAAAGATATGCTCTTTTATTTTAAACCATAACCTGGCAATGTTTCTTAGAAAAAAAAAAAAAGAAATCACTATGAAATTTCGGAGTTCAACGTGTCGCATTACAGAAGGTTCTCCGTCTTTTTATAGAATTTTATATTTGTGTCTGGACTAAAAACAAAAGTAATATACTTTTTTTGTATTCCTTGTAATATAGTAAACACGTAGATATATAATTTGTGGCATAAAAAGTAAGTGCCAAAAGTACTTCGAAATCGAGAAAAATGTGTTATTTTTCCAATTCTCATTTATTTTTAGTGTAAAATGTAAAAAATAGTTTTATAACATATTTCAAATGACTTGACGTTGTATTTATTTCAAATTCACACAAAAATATATTTGAAATATTGTTTGAAATGTCATAGAGATAAATATTATTATTTTATTTTTTTATATTTTGGTATGAGTAACGAATAGAAACACATAAAACATAAAATTATACATATTTCCAAACATTTTCATATAAATTTCTCCAAAAACAAAAGTGTAGAATTCAAATTAGTAGTAGTCCGACCGAAAAAAACGTGCTACGTTTAAAAACGGCAATTCGTTTATTAATTTGTCCTGTGTTTTAATGATATTAGTAATGATAGAACAATAAAAAAATTTAGAACTTTATGAAATTGAGCGAATAATATGGGATCCTCATGATAAAAACCATAAATTGTGCGTAGTATAGGTAACACCACGAGTCATGGAAGTGCGCAGAACCGAAAAATAGGTGTCGGCACGTTGAGGTGTGAGGTACGGGGAAGCGAAACCATAGCAATGGGCGACGAGCTACTCCCAAGTAGTTTCTTCCTGTATCCCGTCGCCCGCGCACCTTCTTGTGTCGTCTTGTGGAGACTGATGTGTAGTTATAATGTTGACCTTTGACTTTTTACATATTAAAATGCCATAATAAGATTTTCATTTTTCTGCTTGATTGTACATGCGCAGTGGACTCTATTTAATTTCATCTTACGTGGCAGGACCTATAGCTACTTATACTGAGCAGACATAATTCTGTCACGCCATCAAACTCGACGTCAGTCATTGTTACGAGTGAGTACAAGTATGAGATGAAGCTGAGTGCGAACACTGACTCACGTCGTTATTGCCGCGGAAGTATTTAGGGAAATATTTCCGACAGCGACAGGAGCAGTGGCAGTCGCTGAGTGTAAATGGGGTATACTACAACCTTAATGCTCCGATCTGTAAGAAAGCTGATGATCCCATTGCATAGTTTCTCTGGAAGCCCATAAGATAGAAGCTTCGAAAGAAGCTAGGTCTAACTATCGATTACTAGAGCACCCTATTTTAAATCTACTATACTTTTCCATACTTATATCTTCATACTAACTTTATTATCCAACAATACAGCATCTTAAAAATTAACCACTCTCAAAAGTTCAACCGAATTGTCATACAAGATAAACATCCTGCGTGCGCAAGCTTAAGTTAAACCATCTCGCCTTCATCGACATTCATCGATATAAATGACAAGATATGGTCGTGTGAACAAAAATTATTCACGGCTTAAACATCATAGAATTAATCAGCGCCATCTCTTAGATACTCATGAACTACCAAGGAAACCAATGTTTTCACTTATGATTATGGTTTTACCCTAGAACGTGTAGAAATACACCTTATATTACTATAAAACAAATCAAAATAGCCTTATTTATTACACCTAATTTTTTATATTTTAAAGAACAACATCATGGAAGGTTTGAATATCAATTCACGATTAAAAATCTTGAGTTTTGAGATGAAGGAGACATTCTCATTTTCAAATTAATTATAATTTCAACACTTAGTATCATATGAATAACGAATATAATAAACCATTATTCTAATAATATATTAAACCATTATTCCGTCCTAAGTAGTTTAGTTTAGTTTAGTTTGCGACGGGCTGTTTTCCGCAACTCCACGTCTATGCGCGTATTTTGCGTGTGGGCAGGAATAATGTGATTATTCGAGCCATGAGATCTCCCCGAAGAAGCTCAACAGTCCCTTGATGTTGCATGCAACTTCGGGGGAGTGATCCCGGCGTGCCGAGATGTTTAGCCCTGTACGTAGCGACCTCCGGACATTTCAGTAGCACGTGGGCCGCCGTTTCTTCCTCCCCCCATACATGCCCTGCACAGGGGACTATCTGTAACACCTATAGTAAATAAATGTTTGTTAAAGGTGCCATGTCCTGTGATAGCACTAGTTACTATCCTGATCTGCGGCTTGTTCAGTCTCATTAGAACTTTGGTTAAGCGACTGTTTATTACAGGTAGGGCCTCCCTAGCTTGTCTACAGTCTACTAGATTTTTCCAAAGCTGAGCGTGTTGATTAGTGAAGTGTCTACGTACCATTGAACGAACGTTACCAAAGGGGATTGGTATGATTGGTTCCGGCCCTATAGTGGCCAGAGCCGATCCTCTTCTGGCCAGTTCGTCCGCTGCATCGTTGCCTCTGGATCCACTGTGTCCCTTTATCCATTGCAGAGTCACATTGTTGTTTTTACATACCTCATTTAATCGTTGATGGCATTCATATATTAGTCCCGAGTTCACCCCATTGCAACTCAGAGCTTGTAGTACCGCCCTACTGTCGGTCAGTATTCTGATGGGGAAGTCATTAACCTTCCTAGCATCTATTGCTACGGCCGCTTGAATGATACCCACACATTCCGCCTGAAAGACCGTGTTATAGGTACCCAGCGGTGTGCATATGTGAATATTGAGGTCTTCAGAGAAAGCTCCAGAACCTACACCTTCATTTGTTTTAGAACCATCGGTGAAAATTCTAAGCTCTTTTGGGCTTAATCCTTCCGGCTGGCTGTTTTCATTTAATTGTATCTTGTATTTCTTATCGAAAACAAATTGTTTAGGAATCCTATCGTATTTGGCTTGTAGGATAGGAATTTCTGAGTAAATTCTATCAATTATGCCTGTATGAGAGACACTATTCTTACTCCAAAGATTTAGGGTCTTGAGTCTGATGGCAGCTAAAGTCGCTTCTTGTTGTATATGTAGATGAAGCGGAGTTAGCTCCAGCATCGCTTCCAAGGCTGCTGTTGGCGTAGTTCTTATGCAGCCTGTGGCAGCCATACATGCCAGTCTCTGGTAGCGCTGAAGCTTCTTAATTGTGGTGGCTTCATTGGTCTTGGTCCACCATACCAGAGCGCCGTATGTGATCATGGGCCGGATTACAGTTTTGTAAAGCCACAGTATGATTTTTGGCGTCAGTCCCCATCTTTTGCCAATCATGTTTCTGCATTGCCAGAAAGTTATACTAGCTTTGTTGATTTTGTTTTCTATGTGTTTATTCCAGTTAAGTTTGCTGTCCAAGGTAAGACCTAAATATTTTACCTCAGAGGATAGCTGGAGTTTTGTGCTGAAAAGACTTGGAAGATGATAGTTATTCAGCATTCGTTTTTGTGTGTACATTACTAAAACCGTTTTATTTGGGTTGACGGTTAAGTCGTATTCCCTGCACCATCTCTCCACTATACGGAGAGCCGCTTGGGTCAGGTCGCACACTATGCTAGCTGTCTTTCCCGAGACCAGTATAGTCAGGTCATCAGCATAACCTACTGTATAAAAGTGATTAGTATTTAATTTGCTGATGAGTTCATTAATGACCATATTCCACAGGAGAGGTGAGAGGACCCCACCCTGCGGGCAACCTTTCTTAATTAGGATTGGTTGAGATTCACCAGCAATCTTTATTATTCGTGTACTGAGCATGCAAACTATCCAGTCGATCAGTGCCGATTCAACTTTATGTCTACTGAGTGCACCTTTTATGCTGGAGAAGTTTGTTCTGTCAAAAGCACCTTCTATATCTATGAAGGAACCTAGACATATTTCTTTGTTTTGGATGGCCCCTTCAATCTTTGTAATTACCTGATGAAGTGCCGATTCTGTTGATTTGCCTAGACTGTAGGCGTGTTGCTTGTCGTGTAGTGGTAAGTTCATTAGCGCCGACCCCCCTTAATTCCCTTTCACACATCCTCTCCATCGTCTTTAGGAGAAAGGATGTGAGGCTAATGGGCCTGTAGGATTTAGGGTCAGTGTAATCGCTCTTACCTGGTTTGGGTATAAATGTGATTTTTACTTCCCTCCATCCCCTAGGAACATATTTTAGAGCCAGACAGGCTCTCATTATGGCAACAAGTCTGACTATTAGGGCTTTACCCCCCCCCCCCACTGTAGGAGTGCCGGGAATATGCCGTCAGGTCCTGCCGCCTTATAGGGGAGGAAACTGTGAATGGCCCAATGGATTTTGTCCATTGTTACCACTCTCTGTGCTAAATTCCAGTCTTCTACTGTTGGTGTCAGTATGTCTTCATGCCGGTTTGCCTCCTGGGTTAAGCAGCAACCTGGGAAGTGCGTTTTAATTAGGATGCGTTGGGCTTCATCCGGCGATGTTGAGTAGCTACCGTCGGGTTTCTTTAGAGACATGGATCCCGACGTGTTCTGTTTAGCTAGAATATTCCTTATCCTATTTGCTTGTTTGCAGGTTTCTATGTTGCCACAGAATTTACGCCACCCAGTCGAGCGTCGATACCTGATACATTTTTTGTATTCAGACTTAGCTTTCTTATATAGTAGCCAGTCTTCATCCATTGAGGTATTCATGGCCCTGTTTAGGGCTTTTCTTACCTTCTTACGTTTCCTATCGAGTTCTACACCCCACCACTGTTGCTTTACCTCGGCATGCCTTCTTGGAGTGATTTCTGGACATGATTCATGGTAGCTATCTATCATGGCCTTAGTAACAGCTGCTACCTGTTCTTCTAGGAGCGACTGATCTGCTATAGTATTTATCCCCTCAGAACCCGCGAGCGAAGACGTCAACTTATTTAGGTATTTTGTTTTATCCGTCTTGCGGGGATTTCTCCATGGTGGTGTAGAGGGGATATCGACCTGTAGTGCGAAGCAGATCCATCTATGGTCTGAGCATGAGGCCTCTTTCGACACATGCCATCCCGTAATTAGTTTGGCTGCTCCTTCTGTTGCAAGTGTGAGGTCGATTATAGTGCGACAGCGTTTGTTTATGAAAGTAGGTTCAGAACCTATGTTTAAAATGGTTAGGTTAGTACTAAATAAATATTCAACTAAAACCTTACCTCGTTCATTAGGTTTTTCCATTCCCCAAAGGGGATGATGTGCGTTGGAGTCCGTCCCGATCACAACCTCTAGTCCGGTCCTCTCGCAGAAGTTCACCAGCCTGCCGAGTTCATGAGGGGGAGGAGTGTCTTCCTCCGGCATGTAGACCGAGGCGACGACTAAACTTCTCTCCTGTGTGTATTGTATTGCCACGGCATACATGTCTCTAGAACAGAAATCTGTTAATGGTTGTGCACAGATATCTTTAGTAGTGTAGATACACGCTCTAGGCTTGTCGTGTTCAGAGCTGTAGAATAGCTTACCTTTTAGGTTGTTTAGGCCTTTAATTTTACCAGCCCCAACCCACGGCTCCTGGATTAAGGCTATGGCAGTCTTTTGAACCTCCAACCACTTGCGTAATTGAGCCGACGCAGTTTCGCTGTGGTGGAGGTTGGCCTGCACTAGGCTAGTTTTGGACGAAGGGCACGCCATCATTGATCGCGTCCTCCCCGTCCCCGCCCAAAAATAGGCCTGCCAGAAGATCTCGGGTCTTTTCGTCAGCCACCGAGTCGGAAGTGGTCGGCAAAATGCAGTCCTCTTCGTCACTCAGTGAGCTGCCGCTGAGCCCGGTCTCCACTGGGGGGCTTTGGCTCAGTTGTGCAGGCCGTTTCTTCACTGGACTTGGCCTCCAGTGATTCCGCTGTACTGGTAACCGTGGCTCCGGTATCCATAACTTCCGGGCTGTTTACTACCTCTTTGCTCGGTGGAGTATCAAAGAATTTACCTCCACGACCCTGGAATTTTACGTATACCGCCCCGCATACGCATGCGAGACGGCGTCCGGCCTTCATCAGGGTCGGGATGTGATCCTCCGGCACCGAAACAACGAGGAACCACCCGTCCGTCTGCTTATCAGCCTTGAGTAACAGCCAGTCCCTGATGTTAACCCAGCGGTTCTGGTACGCCAGCACGCGACCAATGTCACGTGAGTCTTTCCAGGCTCCTTGGGCATCAGGGATTAGGATACCACATTTGACTCTTTGTGGTATCTCTGACTGTTTTTTTATAGTCAGCAAGGTGTTGGATTTAAGATCGAGGGTAGCAATATTCCCCTTCAACCAGTCCAGAGCCTTCTGATCGTCGCACCACAGTTTCAGGACACCCTCCGTATATACGGGTTTGCCCCTAAAAACTGGGCCCGACGCATCAGGGTCCTGGCTACTCCACGCCTCGCTGATTATCTTCCTCTGTATTGCTACGAGGATGTCGTCTGCTACTTCCTTCGTAATGTGACCTGAACGCGCACACGTTAAGGCCACACCCAAATCTGCTCTAGCAGCGGAAGCGTAGCTCGTTTTTGCAGCCTTTGGTTGCTGTCCGAGTCGCACTTTTTTGTGTTCCCCTCTAGGCGAGGTGGACTCTTCCAGCATCCTTTTGGCTGCTCTTTCCTTCTTCCCAGGACGCTTGGCCACTCGCTGCTTCCTGGCGGATATCCTAGAACTGGTTCCCGCGGCCGCGACTTCCACTTGGTCTGGATTTTTATCCTTCCCAGCTTCAGTGCGGCTACTGGTTCCAGCTCCAAGCACCCCAGTCGCAGTAGCTTGCCCAGCCTCCTTGGTTTTAGTTTCGGAAGCAGCCAGTGCGGCTCGTTCTCTTCGGCCTTTTTCCCGCTGCTTCTTGTTCTTCTTTTTGGCCTTTCCACTACTGCCTGCAGGGATAGACCCTCCTGATGGTCCGTCAGGTCGGCAAGTCACCTTTTTGGGTGCCTTGCCTTTCCCCTACGGCTCACCACTTGCCAGGCAGCAGAGAAAAGGTCGTATTGGCTCCGCAGTTTTGTCAGTCGCGGGCTCCTGTTCTTTTTTCCCCTCCAGCTCCTTGGAACTGGTTTTGGAAACGTTCAGCGAGGTAGTTGTCCCTTTGATGGGGGCACCTGCGCTGGACGGTACTGTCCGTGAACCGTCACTGAACCGCCGGTTTAGTGACGGTTTCCCCTTGTTCATTGGTGTCTCTGGTAAGCACCTCTGACACCTCTCCCTCTTTCTTTTTGGGCCTTAAATTGTCCATAATATTTGTTCTTTAAAATTCATCCCCCCGGCTTCCCACCCTCCATGGAGCCCGCACCTTTGGGAACGCCCTATTTCAGGCGTTAGGATTACCGGGAGAATATAGGGACGCGAAGTTGGCTCACAGCGCGACATCGGGAGCTCGATCCAGCTGGTAGATGGGGCTGACAAGGCCCATCCCCACCACCCAAATAAACTGTCACTTGCTCCGTCAGCATGGCCTTTACCACCACCCAGCCCCCCTTTTCAGGAAAACTAGGCAGCCCCCACATCCCTCGCCTGCGACCCTCTGACGGGGCGCTTGGCCATTTCCCTATCTGTGGCTAGCAGATAGGGCCACCGTTTAGCTTGAAATCCGGACCAAAGAGGGCGTGTTGTGTCTCGCCACTATATACCCCACCGACGATCGGCTCAACCCACCAGGACTCCTTCATCCCCGCGTACGGCGCTCGACTGCGCAGGTCCTAGCGCAGGTGGGTGTGTTAGTCCACACGGATACACCCACTCTCTCCGGCGGAACCGTCCCCTCCTCCTTTCTCATCCGGGCTTGGGACCGGCAATGGCGGAGTTTACGTCCTAAGTAATATATTAAACCATTATTCCGATATACATAAGAAAAACTTTTTTAATCTACACTTTTCTAGCTCTTTTGACCCTATCCGTATCGACGTTCTTCCTGAAGTTCGGTTTTACCCCAAGTTATCCAAAACCCGGTCTACATGAAGAAACGCCTAAAGCCATACCTATATTAGTAGATTTACCATAAAATAGTGCAAAATATCTAAACGTGGAAACACATCACGGACATACGGCACGCATAGGTGTTCGCTTTGGTGCTCCATATTTCTCACCAAGGAGACATTGGTCGACATTGTGGTAAATATGAATGAGATGGTGTTGTTTGGTTACAGCGGATGGTGGGCGACGGTACTCGGACGCGCAGCAGCTGTTCCTGGGCAACCTGCCGCACTCGGCCACGGAGGAAGAGCTGCGCGCGCTGTTCGCGCGCTTCGGGCCCGTGGCCGAGCTGCGCGTGCATAGCAAGCCGGCCGCGCCCGGCGCGCCGCGCCACCCCAACTACGGCTTCATCACTTACGAGACCGCGCAGGCCGCGCACGAATGCCTCAACGCGGCGGTGAGTGCCCCAGTGCCCCTCCCTCTACCGACACGTTGCAATCAGTTCAATGAACTCGCGCTCACGACTAACACAACTACGGCTTCATCACCTACGAGACCTCACTCTCAGTTCATAAAAAAAGAGATTAAATAAGATGACACATATTTTTTTTAAATATATTTTTAGGTTTTCGAAGCCAATTTTTATTTTAAGTTTAATTATTTTACTTCGGTTTCTCTAAAAGTCTGATATCAAGTAGGTAATACTGGATGTTTGATCATGGATTAAATTTTTTTTAGTCTACAAGCTAACATAGGTGTCAATGGGTGGGACCAATGGCATGATATTCTGTACAGTAAAATGCCACTTATCAGGATGGTAAGTGCATGTTGTGTGTTCTTTTGTCTTAGAGCCTTATTTTATTTAACCCCTTTTTGGAAGGTGTAAGTCAGGAAATTCCTGCCAAGCAAAATGACATACGTAATATTTTTTTTAAATAGTAGTAGTAGTTAAATAGTAGTAATAGACATCTATCTATTTATATCTATTCTCGTTTACGAATCAAAATGCAGATGCGTTGTGACCCGTGAGGACTAAGATGGAATGCCTCGTTTTTAGTAAAAAGGGTCTCCGTTTCTTTACAATCACCATACGAGCGTGGTACTTCCCCGGTCGAGCCACGTGTTGAGTTAAAAATGATGTAACGTGAGTAGTAATTTATTTGTTTGGTGTCCGCAGCCGCTGTACTACCCCGCGGACAGTCCGGAGGGCACGGGCGTGAAGCTGAACGTGGAGGAGAAGAAGACGCGGGGACGGGAAGCGCCGCGCCGCCGCCCGCTCTCCTCGCACCGCGCCGCCTTCCAGCCGCGCCAGACCTACCGCCGCTAGCTGCCGCTGGCCGCCGCACGGTACCGCACTCTCTTTCTCTCACTCTCACACACGTGAACACGCGAGGCCCGCTCTACTCGCTCTCCTCGCACCGCGCCGTTTTTCAGCAGTTTTAGTATCGACTATTTTATCGACACTAAGAAAGGATTTTGGAAACTTTAATCCCTGAGGGGTGAAGGGGTGTTGTAGTCAGTTCACACAGAGACTTGACGCGACGCGACGATGCTTGAGGAGGGCAGTGGTTTGGGTTCGCGCAGCGCGCTACCGCATGACGCACCGCGACGTCGCTAGGCGCGGCGTGACGTCGCCGGCAATGCGCCGACGCACCGAATGCGAGACGTCGTGCAGCGCAGCGAGCTGGAAATAGTGGAGACAAGTTGCCACGACGACTTCAGGCTACGGCTCGCGCCGTCACGCTTCGAATTATCTCAAAAGTTATATTTGTTTTTCTTTAGAATTAGGGTGACAAGCAGGCTCACAGCCCACCCGATGGTTTATGAATGCTGTAGCTCATAGACATCTACATCTATCTTGGATTAAAAATCGAAATGCATATGCGTTGTCACATGAAGATTAAGATGGAATGCCTCGTTATCAGTAAAAAGGATCTTCGATTCTCTACACTCACCATTGGAAACACAGCAGCATTAGCTGCTATTTTACGCTGGTATTCTGTGAGGGCGTGGTATTTCCCTGGTCGTTTACATTCGTGCTACAGCTGTAAAATATCTGTACCACGTAAATTTTGTATTACCATCTTAAAAAAGTTCACGTTCACGTCTCCGTGTGAAATGATCCTTACGGCATCTTTAATAAAATAAAAATTTCTTCAGCATACAATATCTTGTTGTCCACAGACTACCCGGCGCCTTCGGCCTGCGGCTTGGTACTGCGCCCCCGCCGGGCTTCGGCTTCCTGTATTAAATGACTAGAACTTTAAGTTAACCGCGGCGTTCCTTGCACCGCGCTCGTTTGTCACTGGCAATTGGCGCGCGGTCGAGTATTACAAAATAGCAATATTCAACTCACATCCCAGGTCCACTTTCCATGTTAATTTATAATTCTTTATAAGTTACTCGGCGTAATTTGTATTTATCATCAAATTATAAATAATGTTATATGCCGCTTTTGGCTTATTTAAAACCATTACAACTATAGAAATTTAAACTAAACCGAATTGGTTTAGTTTAGTTACGGGTGACGTCACGTGAACGTAATATGAAGTCATGCGTGTTTGCTACGCTGTGCGTACGTTCGGCACGGGCTGTGACCTCACAATTTCTTGTGACGTCACAACGACGTGTTCGACATGGGCTATGACGTCACGACGTGTGATGACGTCACCCCGCACGTAAGTTCGAGACCGCGCGCCCCCTGCCGCTATATTAATGCTTCGCAGATTGCTTCTCTCATTTGTTTCTTTTAAGTAGTTAGATAGTAAATTAATGTATTTCGTTGGCCGTGCGCGTCCCCATTCGTGAACAGTGACATCTTCCGTCTCGCTCTCACTCTCCTGCAGTCGCGAATGGAGACGTACACGGATACTGTAAATTACTTTCCGGAATTGTTCGTTTTGTAGCGATAGTTTGCACGCGAAAACCGAACCGAACGATCGCGTTTCCGACCGACTCCGGATCGTTAAGCCGTTTGTGCCAAGATGGCTTTAGGCTCAAACGTACGAGGGTTAACGCAACAGGTGTTCAATTTTCTCCGCATTGGCCTACACCTTTATTCTATAATATTGTAAAGACTTATTAATTTACGTTTTTAATTTTTAATAAACAACTAACTTAAAAATATGTTTTTATATTGGACCCGATCGATCGGTCGGTGTTCGCTCGATCAAATATTCAGTGAATACCACGCTCAATGGGCGAGATCCTCTGTCCTATTTGGAGCAGTAATTAATATTGGTTAGTCATTTCGCTGCATATATATTTATAGAGAGGGCACATTCTTACATACTTATTCATCATTTTAAACTTTGTTAAATATTAGCTTTCATAAAATTATACGGATAGAGTATCTCGCCACTATAATATTCGTGTTGCTGTTCCAATGTTCAACATAATAGTTGATGTGTTGGATAGACATGGATATGTAATTATTTTGCTGACTATACTAGTGTATACCCCATCACACTAGAACGGTTTGTTTCTGATCAACGTTTAGAAATAAAACGTCGTTAAGATTGTCTGTGAATATTAAATTATTTAAAGACTGAATGTCTTTTAATGAAAGCAATTTTATTCAACTGTGAATTTATGTCTATTATAGATGCCCAAATTTGTCTATGGTTAATGTTATATAAAATTGTCTATAGCTTGCTTTGTTCATAAACTAAAATGTTTGAGTGTGAAACGATCAGACAATGTATATTCAATTTGTAATACTACTTTTAATTAAGTAATCCCGATTTTAATTTTCTTTAAATTTTAAATGAACAGTCATTAAATAATAAATAGAAAATAGTTTTATTTAAAGCAAATGAAATAAAAACGCACAATTATTTTGAGTATTAAATGGTGGATTGGGGTTAACTCTTTAAGAAAAATGATTTATTACATCATGATTACTCCATTATCCGAGCCAGGTATCATGTTAATTTCTTTTTTTAGTTGGTTGATGATTACGGATAGAAATTAACAAGAAATCTGGCTCGAATGACGTCAGAGATTACGGGAGAAGCTTGTGTCCAACTGCGTTCTAGTAAAAGAGTGAGAGAGAGAGAGAGAGAGAAAGAGCTATGGGTCTATTGTCCAATGCTTTTATTTACGAATGAATGTTCAAAATATCTTTATTTATTTTTCTACAACGCAAATTGAATTAGCGATTGCAGGTTAAACCATGTCTCAGATATTATCTGATCGTTTCAAACTGAAACAAAGTTATTTAATATTAATAACTATATTATAATATTTGTCTATGTTCCAATAACATTGGAGGTCCTTAGCTTTACTGGTGGGCACTTGACCACGTTCATTCGCAATCATGAAACTTTGTGATTTTTTGTATATTTTATTTTTACTTACGTATACACGGCTCATATAAATTGTGGCCCCTTACCACTTAGATTAGCAACTGAATACGTATTTATGTACTGAACCCATAGCAGTTTGGGCGCACGATATTGTCGTGCTACTTACGAAATTTTATTGTAGAGGTGTCGCTTAGTTGTTGATCTAAAATTTGATAGTGCAATTATGAAAGGGCATGCGAGTGGAGACTTTAGGTGTCTAATGCCCAACACTCAAACGTTGCTTAATTTCAAGATGCCCTTCAGTCTCGAGCTGTCTCTATCACTTTAAGTCATAGTGACTGTGACACTAAGAGAATTAACATCTTAAAATTGGTGATTATTTGGCCATATATAGTCTAATAAATAATTTTTGTAGTGTTAGAAAAACATACAGCATACAAATAAATATTTTCATTTGTAAATAAAATAAAATGAATTAAAAACATAAAATGTCAAAAACGTCTAATGTGTCACCGCTAGATATAGCGGTGACACATTAGACGTATAATATCTATCACCATATTTTATGGTTTCATTTATAAGTTATTGTAAAATAAACCCGTTTAGAAATTTTCCACATTTTTGTGTAAATTATTATCTTGCCTAAGTTGGCAACACTATGCTAAATATGTTTTAATAGATAGATTAGTTATCCATTCGTATGCCATTTCTAGTGTTACTATAGTAGATATTCGGATTTGAAGTTAAAGAAAAGTTGATAGTCATCGAACTCTGTTTTGTAAACTATCGTAGTATTGGCTAGTTTCGGCGAGCTTTCGCATGGTGCTTACTTTAAGTTTAAAAATTAAACAGTGAGTTATATTAAATTAATTAGTGGGATAAGTTGTCAGCATCTGGTTTTCCATCCTACTTGGGTGCCTTCAAGGAGAGAATGAATTTTTGTGGCTTTTAGTAAGGCTTTTGTTAAGTCAGTGCGTTTTGCCATCTTTGGCTGCATCACCACTCACTATCCGGTGGGGGATAGTTGTCAATTTGACCTCCGGTTTGATCTCCGGGTAGTAAACATCGCTTGAGAATTTGTTTTACATTTTAAAAATTGTTTGCTATTTGCTAATTTGTGAATTTACTTATAAAAATTGGTTCGCTCATCTCAATACACGTGAAGGAAGTGAGATTAATTAGCGATTTCTGGAATGTAAGATATTTTAATTTTGCGGCGTACCTATTCAATGTTTAAGTGTGACCAGAGTGGAATCACAAGTGTTTTTATTTATTTTTAATATCCTACGTTTTATATATTGTTACATTATCCTCCGATTCTGTGCTTTATTCAAAATTTCAAGTCTAGCTCCTTGGATTTTATTGTAGACATGTTGCCAGTGCTATATTTTTCGACGGTTTACATAAAATTATTACAAATTTTTAATTATCACGCGTAAGCACCTCGTGCATTAGCTCGCCGGTTGAAATGTGTATAAATGTCCTTTATATGGCACTTTTAATTGTTTTGTTACGTGTCGTTTTTGTTATAAATACCAAAACCCAGTAAAGTATGTACTTTATTGTATTAGATGTCGATCGAACGTTAGACTTTTTCTAATTTAGAAGCGTCCTCTTGTAATGTTAAATGCTTAGTTACGATTGAACATGATGTGAAATAATTATTTAGGTATTTTTTTAATTTTTAAAACGGACTAAATTTTTTTTCATATGATAGTGTAAGAACATCGTCATCAGATTCTAAGCTTTGTTCAAAATTTATAGTGTGTCTCTACAATACAAAAGAAAATCCTAGTGAAACATTTCTTTAAAAAACAAAATTAATAAAAAAGTATAAAAACTTGAGTTGGCTCTTAGTCTAAAATTAATAGTAAATCTATGATACATTACACACCTAACTTGGTAGGGTCAAGTTATAGCAGTATTAAACAAAGTATCGGATTTGGTGTCACTAAAAGGGAGAAGTGAAATTTGTAAAAAAAATGTAATAATTTTTTTTAAATATACTTGTACCACTGTT